CTCGGTTACAGCGACCTACAAACTGAGGACAAGTATACCCGGAGGTTCATCAATTATCTAACTTGCATTTTCCATTTAAAATCTTTGGAAAAGAAACGGTTACATCCGCTATGGTCTGCATTGTTAACTTAAATAGAGAATTGTCACCTCAATTTCTGTCGCAAATTGTACTTTCAGAAAATGCATTCAGTTAGATGTCTGTAAGGTATATTGAAGAATAAACTCAATGAATTGAATGATATGTCGAACAGCCCTAGCTAGCCAGCAGTGGCACTTTATTCTAAAATTGGATGTAGACACTAAGAATTGTGCCATGTGTAATATTGTCTAATTACACTTCAATACCTTCTCAATTTCATTTGTTGGGTTGTTACCCTTTGTTTTGGTGTCTCTGCCCATTCTGTCCTAATATTTTGCATAAACTTGCATAAACTTTCTATGTTTTTTCTTGCTTGGTTGTATATAAGGTAATGCTGCAATTGATATATTACACATAATCACTTTGCTGATTACAAAAAAATAGAAATTATCGAAAATCAACGGCTTTCAAAATAGTTTTAAGCAAATATCTGTAAACTGACCTACAAAGGCTTGAGAAGCATTTTTAATCATTGTAGATGATTTACCAGGTGCATATATGTACTACATTGGATGAGGATGTAAAACCACTTCCACAGTCTCCCACTAATTACAAAGTACTAGGACCTGCATCTTGCCACTTTCCCACATGACTGAGCTACAATTTAGGATTTCAGCTGGGGCTATACTTGTAATATTGATTGAGCTGTTCACTTCATCAAAATAAATGCCATCTGCCAAAGCATGATAAGCTTCAAAATTATTTCAACAAAATTAGAATGAACATAGATTTTGATTGTTTATAACAATATTATAACACTTAAAACTTCTATGATTTCAGACAAGTAATATTGTTTTTGAAACATAATGATTTTAAATTGGACTGAATTTTATTTTAGAAAATCAACAAATTTCAAATTAAAATTAGCAAACAAGTCTTAAAAAGATGTTGATGGCAACCAACGCACTGAAGACAGATGACAGTATCAATTTCCAATGTTTATGCACAGCGTTACATTGCTTTAGTATTTTTTATGCAGATTTTGAAACAAACTGTTTACTGTTTCACACAACAAAATATTTTGAATCAACTCTTTTTTTAGTGAAGTCTCCAACACAAAATTAGGAAAAAATAGTCAATATTTCAACAAGTAATCGTAATAAAATTTGAAAAGCTGTCTATCAATAGGATATGTTATGTAATGTAAAAGAGAGAGGATTTTAAGAAAAAAAAGAAAAATGTTAATTATGAAGAGTTTCAAATAATGCATGCATATTTTAGTTTTAATGTATCAGACTTTGCAGGAAAAGTCCCTTTATATTCCAGCAAGATGTTAAGAGAGCAGAGCAGTTAACTTTGTTCATGTGAATTTGAGTGCACAATAAATGTCAGAAACCATGTTAATGTAAAAAGTTAAAAAAAAAAACAAAATGTATGTATTTTTATTGGATAGATGTATTAACAGTTTTAATCTATATTTCATATATACACATGTATATGCTCTTTTAAAACCCTGTAATAAGCCCATCCTCTAGTTGGAGATCTGGTTCATTCTGTTTTTCATTCCCTGGGTTTATTGCAGGAGAAATATGATACACTGACGGCATCAATGAATCAAAGAAAATGAACAGATTTTACGAATAGCAACTGTTGTAATATGGGACTCTATCAGACATTGATTAACAATATTAGCATACTGAGAAATCCTACCAATAAATCCCAAAATGTCTGTGGATTACAAATCATTTTAACTTTTCACAGATCTATTGATATTTTCCACATAATACATGTAATGTGACTTCATTCCTTTCCAAAACACTACCAACTCTAAAATGTTCTTCCCAAGATTTTCATTTGCTAGAAATTCATTCCAATCCTTGCACTTACTGGTAGTGATGTTAAAAATTTAATAGACATGGACTCATACAGCATTAATTTTGATCCAATTGTCCCTCATTTGTCTACGACGCCACTGTGCATAAAGCCTGGTAATTTTAAAATCTGGAGATAACATCCCTTGTTTTCTTCGGAAATTATTTCCTATCTGGAGCCGATTTCTTTAAAACTTAATGATGGCTGTCTGTACACAGTAATTAGTGCTTGTTTCTGAGGTCAAGTGTTCTCTTAAAAGACACGCAATTTAAACATGGGAAATAATTAGTGTTTCTTTCTAACAGATTGAAGGGTTCTTTGAAGTGTGAGCAGTTGAACATTTATTTCAATGATTATACATAGAACAATGGAGTCAGCTAGAAAGATAAATCAAATGGGACGGAATTCAATTTCGTTAGAGAGTTTGAAGCAAAGCTGGTGGTTTTTCTTTTGTGTACATTTCTTTTTCCATCTGTGTTTCACATAATGGATTTATGTCAATTTGGATTTCATAATGACATTGGTATTTGCAAAATCGAAAAAGAATTATAAAAAGAAAAAAAAAAAAATTTCCAATACATATTTCAATTTCAATTTCAAATTAAATTGACTTTCCAAAAAATATTTTGACAAGCAGATTGAAAGGAATTAACACACAAGTGTCCATATCATAAATGAAGCACATATAAAATGCAACAGCAAAGAATAGAATTCTCCATACACTCAAATTACTTCTAGGAAATCCATGTGGAAAAGGTCATATTTATTTCCAGCCAAAAACGGAATCAGAACATTTTTTACCAGTTTTAAAATTTGTAGTTAAGATGACCTAATATTTTACCAACTTTTCAAACATTCAGGAAGAAAAACGACTGTCGTATAAAAATCCACAGGGGAAACCCCTCATATTCTAGAAATACTGAGAAAACATGTACATGTTAGAGTTAACAGGAAGTTAGATATCATATGCTTTCCTGACACAATGCAAACATTTGAAAGGTCAGCAGATTTCTTTTTATGGAGTGGGGTGAGATGATGATGGTCACATGAATTGTTATGTTAAGTGGTCACAAAGTGCCATCTATATCAACATCAGACCACTAACATGTTTAACACATATTTTCTTCTTCAAACATTGTATTACCCAAACCATTAATGAATGCCTCTGTGATTAATTATCAATAGTAATAAATCTGTTCATTTTCCTTATCTTCATTTTCATATTTATACAACCCCCATCTATATATTTTGTGTTGTCCTTATGTACAATAGTATATCTGAAGTGCACAGGGACTTGGCACATAAGATACTTATAATACATATGTTGCACAGGGACTTGGCACATAAGATACTTATAATACACGTATAAAGGCTTTTAAGATGGGAATTCAAGTCAAATTCTAGTCCTTGTGCTACAATCAGACCTGGATGATCCCTACATAACACATGACAGGCAAATTATAATAACAGTCCTTTAAAATTCTACTTCTGTACCTGGAATTAAACTTAAGCTTTGAAATCAGAAGGATAACAGACAACTTGGAAAAGTTAAGATATATTTCCAGAAACGCCAACAGCCTTGAGACAATTTGGATATTTCAACCTTTTCATTAGGAAATGGTTTATGATATTGCTAGGTATCTACTGGCCAGTTCTGGAGAAAACTTGCATACAGGTATCAGGGGTCTGGAAAAATATTTTAAGCCACTAGGCACAGGACAAGTGGGCTGAAAAATTTACTCATCCGCATTGGAAATTTACTCGTCCAAATTCAGCTATGAAATGGTGACTTAATCAGGGAAGGTGTGACATGTGACTTTTTAAAATTTTTATTTTAAGTTTTAGTAAAAAACTATGCAGCGATGGCTGCTTTGCGTCAGACATTGTACACGACTTAGGCCTAGCTGTAATGTTTGTTTACATCTGACTGACTCGGTGCTGCATAATACAGACTGGTACATGTTGGTACTGCCCGAGAGCACCTGACATCAGTATGACCATGGGAAAATGACTAAGGTATTCCAAATGCTATATTTGACGTCATGGGAGTTCTGATGTAATCAAAAGTTAGAGTGCAGACTAGAATATTTTGTTTTCGAAGTACCGTAAACACATTTCTTTGTTTTAAATTTTCTTTACATTTTTATTGAAATTTGTAACATTAATATCATTGGAAAAAAGTACCCGTCCGACGGACGACAGACAAAGATAAATCTGGTTGTCCGAGACAATTTTCTCTCGTCCATGACAACCGGACAAGTGCTTTTCCTGACCCCTGATGTATTGATAATTTTTACTTTAATAACCTTTCACCCTTTAACTTTGACCACTAACTACACAAGTCTAATCACTTACAGATTTTTGTATCACCATATCATAGCATGAGTATATGAACTGATCTAAAATCTGTTGATAGTTCAGAAGGTATCTTCAAGTGTAGAACATGATGATGTGACGGTATGGTTTTAATATGAACTAAATATGTTTAGGGGTGTATGAGATATCTTGTACACAAACTATTTATTGCAAATGCAGTCATGATAAGCATGATATTTGAGCTTTGACCTTAAAGGATGATCACTAACATTTAATCAGGTGGAAATCTCCATGTTTCAAGGCTATATAGTAAATATGAACAAAATCTGTTAAGATCCGACTTCCACACAGTGGACAGAAAAACACAGACAAAGTGGTGTTGAGAAAGGAAGAGAAAGAAAAATCTGAAAGCCAATTTTTACATCTTATGTAATAGTACATGTGGCCTTACTAGTCTTGATTGATGGAAATCACCCTTTTGTCAAGCAGTAAAATGTCTGTCTGGAGAGCCAAAAGTTCCCAGTTCGAGTCCCGGCAAGGGGGCAGGATATTTGTCATTACTCCTTCCTATTACAAGGGTATATGTACAGTACAAAATTGTACATGTACCTCCTGGATCTGAATTAATTGGTCAATACCGCAGTGTTGAGGAAGACACCATGTTTTTTTAAATAGGATTATATGGAAATCTGACTTTGTTTATACCTTAATTACATCAGTTTATTTAACTTACAGAAATTGCCCTCCTTGAGAAAATCCAACAGCATGGTATCCATCCTGGAGTTTGGTGTCCTTGGCAATCTTGTCACATGCCATGGCAACCTGGTCATTGGCATTCATGAGGAAACCATTTTCCATGTCCTTTTTGAAAGAAAAGAAAATGTCTGCAATTCTTGCTACAGTTTAGGGAAAAAATCAAATCAAGGAAATGACATTTCATATCAACATACTGTAAGTATCCTGTGACGAGCCCAGGACTTCCAATTTCTAATGTCCGACTAAAATTACCTGGATGGGCTTCATATCCATGATAATGGACTAGTATATGTTTGGTAATTTCACCAAAGCCTAACAGATATAAGTGGGCTTATATGACTAGTAGTTTATTTTAACTTTTTTGTTTTACATCCTATCAAGAGTCAGTGTCATTTAAGGACCAACTGGTCTGAGTGGTGGAGAAAAGTCAGAGTTCCCAGAGAGAAAACACTGACCTGCAGCCAGTACCAAGCGACTGCCTCATGTGGGCCTTGACTCTGCGGCCCAGAGGTGAAGGACTAGTGATATAGATGGTCAGACGCCTTAACCACTCAGCTACTGCGGTTCCTCATTACATAACAAACTATATAATCATGATTAGCCATATAACACTATATTACTACAGATTGTCTGCCATGTTCTTTATACTTACTGTGACAATGTTACTGCCAATCATCAGACTGTTGACGTATACACCCTTAATTTGCTTCTCAATAAGTGATTTTATTGAGCCCATGCTCAAAGGGTTACAGCAGCTGTCACCTACAAAGTAATCAGTATACTGTTCAGTTTTAAAAGTTTCTTAATCGCCTTTTACTTCATATACCACTCTAATGATTCAATAACAGCTGTAGTGTACTTTGTCACCCTCAATGTATACTTTGTCATCCCTTTTGTATATTTTGTCATCCCTTTTCTATACTTTGTCATCCATGTTGTATACTTTGTGATCCCTGTTGTATACTTTGACATCCCTGTTGTATACTTTGTCATCCCTGTTGTATACTTTGTCATCCCTTTTGTATACTTTTTCATCCCTGTTGTATACTTTGTCATCCCTGTTGTATACTTTTTCATCCCTGTTGTATACTTTGTCATCCCTGTTGTATACTTTGTCATCCCTTTTGTATACTTTGACATCCCTGTTGTATACTTTGTCATCCCTGTTGTACACTTTGTCATCCTTATTGTATAATTTGTCATCCCTGTTGTATACTTTGTCATCCCTGTTGTATACTTTGTCATCCCTTTTGTATACTCAGTCATCCCTGTTGTATACTTTGTCATCCCTGTTGTATACTTTGTCATCCCTTTTGTATACTCAGTCATCCCTGTTGTATACTTTGTCATCCCTGTTGTATACTTTGTCATCCCTGTTGTATACTTTGTCATCCCTGTTGTATACTTTTTCATCCCTGTTGTATACTTTGTCATCCCTGTTGTATACTTTTTCATCCCTGTTGTATACTTTGTCATCCCTGTTGTATACTTTGTCATCCCTGTTGTATACTTTGACATCCCTTTTGTATACTTTGTCATCCCTGTTATATACTTTGTTGTCCCTGTTGTATACTTTGTCATCCCTTTTGTATACTTTGTCATCCCTGTTATATACTTTGTTGTCCCTGTTGTATACTTTGTCATCCCTTTTGTATATTTTGTCATCCCTGTTGTATACTTTGTCATACTTTGTCAACCCTTTTCTATACTTTGCCACCCTTATTGTATACTTTGCCAATCATATTTTGTATTTTGACACCTCTATTATATATATACTCCAGGGATAAAGAAATGCAGGATGATATCATTTGCAATATATATAAAGGCATTGTTTAAAAACAATGAAAGTCGGTCAAGCAACTCTCTAGGATACAGTTGACAGAGTCCTGTATTGAATGGTGTATTATTGTATTGTGTGATGCTGTCATTCAGGGAAAGCATGAAATAGACAAAAACATAGCAGTGTTGTGACATTGGAGTTTCACTGCTCATCATACTATTAGGTTATCTTCATAGAGACACATCATTTTCCATATTTTGATTAATTTCTAATGGTATTAAACAATGACACGACTGATGAAAGTTCAGAGGGGTCAGGCCATTGTTGCCAGCCATTTCTGTGTATATATTTGCTTGTTAGACGTCTAAGGGCAACTGGGTGGGTTGCTGACGGACCTCGATATGGACATCCACATGTGACTTCACAACGTCAGGACAGGTTTATTCGTCTCCAGCATTTGCACAATCAGCACCTAACTGCCACTGAATCTGCTCTTCATACCATAGGTACTCACAGCCGTCCTATCCAAGCAAAAACTGTAAGGAAACGCTGGTCTGTGGGCACGTCACCTGTTTGTAGGTGTACCCCTTACTGCTGCTCATTGCCAGCATCGTATGGCTTGGGTGGCGGCACATGCCCTAGGAATATATTCCCATTGAGGCAGTGGAGGCAGGTCTTGTTTACTGACGAGTCACAGTTCACCCTGTTTCGAGTAGATGTTTGACATCTTGTATACTGCGGTCATGGAGAATGTTTTGATGACTGCTGCATAGTAGAGACAAATAGGTTTCATTCCAGCAGGATAATGCTCGGCCCCAAGTAGCAAGGATCTGGACTGGCTGCTATACAGCCCTGACCTATCTTCTATTGAGCACTTGTGGGACCTGCTGGATAGACAGGATCACTAACACCAGCTTCCTTCTGTTACTCTGGCCCAACTGAGAGCAGCCCTGTTAAAAGAATGGGCCAACATCCCAATGAGGATGATAAACTCACTCATAAACACCATGCCTTGGAGAATCTTGACTGTGGCGAGAGAAAATGGAAGGCATACCCGGTATTGAATAGCCAGCTACCACAATCAGTCCATTTCGATTTCAGATTACAGAGTTCTCTTTCAATTCACTTCCATTACTCCTAAATTACTTCCCAGATACAAATTGTTCATTTTGCAATTTGTTCTGTATGGATCTATCTTCATATAATCAAAGTCTTTTCTAGAATCATCTTCAAAGTTTACCCTGCGTTTCTTTATCCCTTAAGTATATATTGTCATCCCTTTTGTGTACTTTGTCACACCTATTTCATATTTTGTCACACCTATTGTATACTTTGTCACACCTATTTTATACTTTGTCACACCTATTGTATACTTTGTCACACCTATTGTATACTTTTACAACCCTATTGTGTATTTTGCAACCACCAGTGTATACTTTGTCACTTCATTTGTGTATTTGCTACTTCGCTACCTCTTTTGAAATAGCGTTATACTGTATGACACAATGACACCATTAGGTCAAGTGATCAGAAATGTGATGTCTTCAATCTTTTTTATATCTGGCAAGGATCAAGAGTTAAAATTTAAAAAAAAGACCAATTATAGACTATAGCAGAAAAAGTACAATGAACATGAAATAACAAGAAGTGTTCAAGTGGTCCCTATAAGATGTAATGCTTTGTTAACAAACTCCAGACTGTACCAAGTTTGCTTAGGCCTGACCATATAACAATTGGTTAAATCATATTCTGCTTAATATATTCTTCTCAAGCTGGTAATGTTCTTTTATAATGTAAAGACTATGAAATCATTTAACAATAGAAACTGATATAGAAGTGACTACAGGTGTCCGGCAATATCTATCACACTGTGATATCATCATAGCTGAAGTCCAATCTTATAAGATATACTACTGTAGGTGTACAGGAATATGTATCATAAGTTACTATAGCTGATATCTAACTTACATGTATGTACAGGTTGAGGTGCCTCCAGTCTATATTACATGATTCATCAGCAATTGTCTGTACAATTTGAAGATAAAGTTGTTGTTGTTGTTTTTTTAACTTATCCTACATGTACACATACCTTCCTATTGCAAAATAAAAATCTCTCAGCATCAATTCAAAATCACTACAAAAAACAATTTCACAGAAGCTTTCCCCATGTTGATTAAAGAAAGGCTCTAACAAGATCTTTAGACAGAGGCCTTTTCAAACAAATTGCTGAAAACTAGGGTTGTCAGAGAAAATGTGTAACTAATGTATATTATATATATAAAAATGTATTTTCTGTAGAGTCTGTCCATTTATCATCAATGCTTAATTCACAAGTTAGTATTATACCATTGTGAATTATTTGAAACATTGATTGAATGCTCTTAAAATAGTTGATCAGCAAACATGTGGCTAATTTTTGCTTTATACAAAGTTGAAGAAATTCTGATAATAATCGAAAACTAGCACACACACCCAGTACTGTCTTTTAAAAATCTTTATCTAATGTCCCATGTAGCTTTTGAACAATTTCACATCAGCGAAAAAGCATTTAACCTGTTGTTAACCAACAAAAAAGTAAACTGTCATGAGGATTGGCAGAGATGGTAGGTTTACTAGGAAAATTCTTCAGAGAATATATATATGTATATTAGCAGAAAAATAATTCACCATTCCACTGATGTATCGTTCATAACTATCGCTCTATTGTAAGTTATTTCAACTATTGCCTGAATGCTGACCAATGCAAGGGTTGCTTTAATGTTTGTCATTTTTATTTAGGGAGGAATTCTGACTGCTGACAACAACCAAGGCAAAAAATGAAACATTATTTTATTACAGAACTCTTCAGACTATGAAGCACTATTTCTGTAACAAATGGTTGGCCAAAAATATTGTGGTGGTAGTTTTACATTTTTTTATCAAGAAGGAAGGAAACCGTACATGTTTAACCAACAAAGGCAAGTCTGTAAGATTTTAAATTCTTCAACAGTAAGAACATATCACAAAATAATCTGATATTCCAGCAATAACGTTTAATAATTTTACTGTGATAAATGTGAACAATGCAATTAAAATTCTTTCAAAAATGTGTTCATTTAAAGTTAAAACCATCGCCCACTGAACTATGAACCCCATGTTACATCGTATATTGTTGTGAAGACAGTGTTGATGTGCAAGTTAATTTCCCATTAACTAGTACAAACTACTTAGAATCGTGTTTTGAAAAATGTCATCATACGCTTATTATATTTTTACTAAGCTAGGTAAAAGAACTTACCCATGCCATGCCATAGGACGACCGGCGTCACAGCTAAACAGCCTGACACAATTGCTAAACATACAAACACTGTCAACAGCCTTGCGTTCGCCATTTTGGAATGTCATGTGATTTTGAAGTACGGACCAGTCATTATTTTTAAATTGACGTAATTAGTATAGCTTTAACAATATCTAAAACACGGTACATATAAATATATAAACGTTTATTTTATAACATACTCTGTGAACGACTTTTGAAAGATAATGCATTTTAAAAACTGTAACTTTAAATTTAAGTTTGAAATAATGATTACTCCCCTCCTACTAGAGGTCAATGTTTGTCATCGATCGGTTTGCATTATTGAATAGCGGTTCACATGTGCTAGGCTAACTGTGACAGTCCTGTTCGTAGTGAGACATGGCTCTGCAACGGCTGGGATGTACGGCGTGTACCTGTCTTCAAAGACAGTTCGTGCGACAGGGATATTCTTGGCAAGCTATTTCTTCAAAGAGGAGAGCTCACAAACTCATCAACCCAGAGTTTCCTGACAATCGGTTTTCAACTGTGTACAGAGATATACATGGGTCGGTTGAGGATTCATCCACTGCCAGAGACTTTATTTTTGCTCTGAAGCCTCATGAAAGATCTCTACTATTTAACGAACTGAAGAGTTTTGAAAGTGAAAACGAAAGTACCGCAGGTTGGTATAAGATGTCCTTGCCAGATAAAGTGAAAGTGGAATGATTGGCTTTACCGCTTTTGAAGTTCTCAGTGATGAGATTTTAAGTTTTTATTGATAATTTCATGATTTCTGGAGAACCAGTTTTTTGAATGGGAGAAATTGAGGTCTGAATGTCAGTATATCTTATATGAAATATTCCCATTGATTTGGGTATCAATGATGATTTTAGTAGATTTTTTTTCATTGCAGGTATTCTATATGTTTATACAGTCACCCAATCACACGTGTACTTTATAACACAACAAATCATTGTACACATGTAGTTCAAATAAAATGTATTTATGATAATTTATAATATTGGGAAAGGTTAAAGTCCCTGTAAACTTATGATAGAAATTTAGGTCCAAGTGATATCTTGAACAACATTTTTTGACATCCTGATGATCTCATGAGAAAAATTGTGCAAGGTCCCAATCATGATGATCCCTCGAGAAAATTGTGTAAGGTCCTGATCAGGATGATCCCACGAGAAAAATTTTGTAAGGTCCAGATCAGGATGATCCCCATGAGAAAATTGTGTATGTTTCTGATCATGATGATCCCACGAGAAAAATTGGTCCTGATCATGATCATAAGGTATTTGTGTTATCTTGATGCTAGTTATAGATCCTTCATCTTGTTAGATGTCACCTACAGTTGTTAGGGATAGTAGTAAGTATTACAGAATGAGAGAGTACACAGATTACATAGCTTTCTTCACTTTATACAGAGTTGTAACCCTTAAGTAGTCAATATTTGATTTTGTAAAATTTTATTTAAAAGTTTAGAATTATTTTATTCATTTCATTCTATGCTTTGAGTTTCAAATATTATGCCCACATTTGTAGCAAAAGGTGAATGATGTACAAATGACTTGAACCAAAAAGACCTAAAGTTAGATCAACGATTACATTAGATGAAGAATTGGGTTTGTTTCCATCACATGTGTAAGAATACTATGACAGATTGAGCTACTATAGGTGTGTGTCTCGTGTATATATTGTGTACAAGTTTGCTCAGACATTTGAGATTGGTGGCACTGAAGTGGCCTTTGATTGGCCAAATTGCCATGGCTGAAGGGCTTCTGCTGTGCTATACATCATTTTAAGACATTTGGAAATGTTAATCTGCCATATTGGTATCTGTGACAAAACCTTTTAATATTGTCTAAGAGGATTGTGTATCCATATTATATATGGCAATTTTAGCTGATGATACTGGTTTCTTTCCTGTCATGCAACAATCTAGCCGTATTGCATGATAAAGAAATCACTTTTCTGGTTTGCGATTTGTACAGTTTTATCGATAGTTGTATAAATAGATTAGACAATTTTCTGTTTTATGAAAAAACTTGAATGTATCGTTTTACTGTCTATTTTTGGATTTCAGTTTGCTTAATATGCAAAATTTCTCCTGAAACATTGAATGTAAAATGCTTTTATGTATATATTCTTTACAAAAGCATTTTACTTTCAAGCAATTTCAAATGCATGAATTCATTTGGGAACTTTATCAATTTAATTTTCTTATGTTATTCTGTCACTACAATTACATTTGTATTATGAAACTACTTAGCTAAAGCTGGTGTATCATACAAACAAGGCGTGCTGGCCCGTAAACCTGTAGTTATGTTGTGTTGCACATTACACGATTCAGAAAGTAACTTCCTGTATCAAGCCTCTAAACACATATATCACTAGTAGTTTGTAGCATTTTAAGAGTTGTATTTTTAACAGTATACCATAAAACCCCACAATAACACCCTTGAGTCAGTATTTGACGTACTTCAAAGTCATTTTTTTTTTTTTATTTCTTTTGTAATTTTGTCATATACCACTAAACAGTTTTGCAATGCTAAATATTTTGCACATAAAAGACAACAAATCAAGAAAATATATACTTATTGTAATTATATCAATACGGTTTTAATTTTCTCCCTCTCAAAACAATTACATATTGATTTTTTTTAACATATGTAACATTAAAATATTTATTTATCTTTTTCGTTTACAATTATACAACATTTCAGTTTTTCAAATAAAATCAATGAAAAAATTTACACTATTTGAAACAGTAAAAATTTTGCATTGACAGATTTAAAAACCCAATTGGATTGTCTATGTCAACAAAGAATCCTTTTGATGTTTATAATGTAATGGCCGCAGTTTATTGGTATTCTAAACAAGAACTGAATGATAACCATAGCCTGTTATATCATTAGGACCATGCCTTGCAGCTTTTGTTTCTGTAGATAAAAGCCATTGTACAGATATATGCAGGTTCCATTCCACAGATGTATTATTCCTCAAAATCAGCACTTTGATACCTATTCAAATGTATTGATGTGCATCCACAGCTTAAAATATAGCGAATAGGCTTCATGTTAGCTCACTTGGGCTTAATTAATGAGAATGAAAGGCTTCTGGATGTCCTTGTGTACCAGTTTTAAGAGCCAAGTGATGCCATCTCACACATGCCAAGGCTTTCTAATACATAAAATGTGCAAAACATTGAACATAGAGTTGTGTTTGCAAGATACAAACACTAAGAAAAATTTAAGTTAAAATTTATTGAAAATTCTCAAGCTTTAGAAATTCCAGTAAAGATCTGACACCGTTGTTTCTGAAGGCAAAGTCTACAAATGTACCCTGTACAGAAATATCACATTTTAACTCTGACACAAGACATTTTGGACGGATTTGAAATCTTCAATTTGACAAAAGTTTTTGTACTAAACGATTTCCATCAACAAAAATCAATTCTTATAAAATGAAAACTAACATTCTGAAGTCAACCAAGTACAACAAGAAAACAACGCAGAAAAAAATGGAATAGAATCATCTGAATTCTAGCTGACATGTTGATGCTGTCAGTGCCATTAAATTTTCCAGTCGGATTTTGTTTTCCCTCTTAGGCTTCCGATGTTCCCAGATTACCATGCAGATGATTGATATCTACCAATATGTTTTGTTTGAATAAATCACATCCTTTGATAAAAATATGTTTCTGATTCATTTTAACAGTAAAGTTTACTTTAAGTATATAACAAATATGTTTCATACTGGCCCATCCTTTACCTATCATCTGAGTCTGATATTAACCAAGATTATTGATGTTCAAGGCCTACTCTTTTGGAAGATACAGAAATTTTGTCAATGTTATGGCAGGTTACCTGAAGAACATGTTTTGGAATGTGATTGTGTGTATGTGTACAGAATAGACAGGGATTCATATAGTCACAAATTCAATTTGAATTTGATAATGTTACAATATTTACAGGATGGAAGATTTAGGGTTATGTGTTATCAAGCTGACAATACTTTTAATAGATTAGCTATTGTGTATGAAAGATTGTATAAAAGTATGAACATCTATAAATTGTTGATGCAGAATGCATGCCTTATCATGAACAAATCTACATCAATGATTTCTAAACAAATATTAAGGGGAAGATGAAAGGAAAAGGGGTTTAGAACATGGAGTGCACTGACAGGTAGCATAGTAAATTTTGATTATTGCATAATAATATAAAGATATGTCGACAAGGCTATTCTGAATTTGTTGACATTATTTGAAAGAAGTCTCTCTCAGGGACTTATAGTGTATAGCAGCAGAAATGCAAAGTTATACAAAGTCAAAATAACAAAATGATGGACACCTGTACAAGAACAAAATCCTTTTTCAGACTTTCTGTGAGGAATAATGTAGAAATTAATAAATTAAAAAAGATTTAACCCTATAATTATGTCAGTTGTGTGAATTGATATACATAGTATCATATATTTTCATGTGGCTCAGTTTGGGAAGTTCCTTGATTTCAGGGATAATATAACTCAATACATGCATTTTATGGTAACATTTCATCAACATATCAATTTGTGGATTAAAGGTATCCACGAAATCAGTGAATATAAATTCCCCACAAAAATAAATGAGTATTGATTTGTTTCGTATTCTGAACCAGTGCCAATCTTCAGGATAAGCAGGGAATTTCTTGTTGTTTGTACGATGTCATCTAATAGTGATTATTTTATTACTGGTAACCTTCTAAACCAAAGGCAGGACTGATCTTTTGTGTCAGATCCAGTTGTAATGAAACTGTTGTAAATGACAAAAGGTCAGCTTCTACAAGATATAGATGACATCAATCCCAATAGATTTACTATTGTTGATGACCATCTGCTGCATCAGAATTTTATTGCAAACAATCAGATATATGTGTCAAGTTGTAAGTGATAGATCCGTTGAACTGACAAATCCTATATACATTTATGAGATCATATAATTTAATATTGAATGATAAACTTATATTTATGCTTGTCGACAAATTTGATACTGACTATTTTTACTACTCTATTTTCTGGAATATAACTTAATATGAGGTGGGCATGCAGCTTATATACCAAAAAAAATTGGCAGGATGAAAAAAATCCCCAACAGTGCTAGATATTTTTTATACGAGTCACATGTTTGTAACTGAAACAGATCGTCTTGAACCTTCATTTGCAATCGTATACAGGATAATTTGAAGATTGATATAACAATAACATTCGTGTGGATTTAATTAATCATACCTTTTAATATGAATTACAATGATATCTTCTGAACTTGCGTGGTTACTTCAAAGTCCTAATGGAAGTTTACGTTAGCCTTTTGCATCCTGGTATCAATAGGTCATGCAGTTATAGGTCAAGTTATAGAACGACTGCCATTCTTGTTTACGATATGGATGGCATCAAGCAACTTACAAGAAGAAATGATATAGGGCTATAAGAATATGGTCAGCATGCAAGGACCTTCGTTGATATTTAACAATACAGACACCGATGGAGAAATTGATTAGCAAATGGTACATAACATCAGGCCCTGTATCTGTATGTAGACAATCTGTAATAAGCAAACCGTACGAAACATCAGGCCCTGTATCTGTATGTAGACAATCTGTAATAAGCAAACCGTATGTAACATCAGGCCCTGTA